AGAAATGATAATCAATGATATAATAATAAAATCAAAGTATAAAATATAAAAGATAAAATTAATATTAATATAAATCAAAAGAGAATAAATATAAAATGAAAATAGATATAAATGATAATAATATAAAAATGATAAAGATGAATAAACAAATAATAAAATACATTTAAATATAAAAGAATAACAATAAGAAAATCTAAATAATATAAACATAAAAAACATAAAATAAGAAAAATATAATAATATATAGATAATAAGAATAACACAATGATATAAATAATATAAACAGAGAAATAAATATAAAAATACGATAGATAAATAACATATAAATAAAAGAATAAAAAGAATAAAAATAATTAAATATGATTCATCAAATCATCTATTTCATTAATATTTCATACAAAATGAATACAATTGATAATAAAATATAAACATAAATATTTATATATTCTGTATTTATCATATTTTTTATTTATTTTTATTTTAGGAGCAAAATATAATAAATGGAAAATTCTATGGATGCAAATTTTTTTGCATCTTTTTCATTTTTTGTAAATTATTTAGATGCATTATTTCTTTGCTAATTTTATACCTGTAAATAATTCAATGATTCCGATAAAACAAAAAGAAAAAATTTGAATGAAAAAGAATAATTGATAAAAATAGAATAAATAAAAAAAAGAAAAAAAAAAAAAAAAAGAAAAAAAGTCGGAAAATGAATAAAAAAGTAAAATAAAAAAAATAATGAAAAAAAGAAAAAAAATATAATCAAAGAAAGTAGCAACATATATCAATATTAAGGTTCCATGGTGTAGTGGCAGCATATGAGATTCTGGTTCTTAGGACCCCAGTTCGAATCTGGGTGGGACCACTTTTTATACCTATATTCTTTATATTATCTATACTACTTATATTCTTTCTATTTTATATTATATATTATATATCTTATATCTTATATCTTATTCTCTTTATTATTATGTGTACTTCCTATACTTATACCTATTCATCTTTATCACTTCT